TTAGTCAACCAACAAGCAATAACATTTGACATTTCGGAGACCTCACGCTACACTAGCGCCTCTAGCGGCGGATTCATACGCGATAGCCCTCATTAAAATGAAATTTTGAAAGATGTTCTAACTCTCCCACAAGAGCAAGTCTCCCGCCAGTGTATCGCATAGTATGGGAAGAGTTTCAAGGGATGAATTTATTTAAATAAAATCCATTAGTCTTCAATATAAACATTTCATTTAGAGTGCAGGATGAACGGGTTTATAATAATTGTTTACCTCAAGTAGTTGCAGTTTTGTTTATTCAAATTTGAAATTAGTGTGTCGCGAGGTTAAGATCAAGGGACACGTGAATGCGAATTTAGTGCAAACTTCGTTTGAATTGAATGTTTATGTTATGAGTTTAATTTGTAATTTAAATTTGTAAACATTTAAATGACTATAATGTAAAGTGAATACTAAATAAAGACCTAGTCGTCGTCGTTGCGTCGCGCCCGTAGACCAGTCACCGCGTAGTTGATATGAACCCCTTAACCAGTGTTACCAACCCTTACCAAAATTTTACCCTAAGTATTTTTTAAATTCCCCTAAAATCCCCTAAATATAGAAAATTATATGTACCTACTTATCTTATTACCTAAATTCTTTCGTTGTTCATAAATTAAAACGTTACATATTTAGTTACAGCAAATTATTTTATTGAATAAATACATTTTCCAAATGGAAAATCAAACGAAAATGAGCTGACAGGCGGTTAAATCTTATTTAGCTGTTTTGATTGGTGGAAGGCAAAGAACTTTAGTCCATACAGCCTTAGGAAACAACCTGCCACACAGTGAGTTCAGTCGTTTCATATCGTGCTGCGTTCCATTCTGCGCACAAAACTGAAAGATAACACAAGCTTTGTTTTTCGATTTAATTGAAAGTTTTGTTAAAAGCCCCTAAAAGAACCCCCAAAAAATTCCAGCCCCTAAAAAAGTCCCTTTTAACACTTCTAGCCCCTAAATCTGGGGGCAAAACCCCTAAGTTAGGAACCCTGCCCTTAACGCCTGCCGTCACCAGTCGAAGAATTCAACTAGTTGATTGACTAGTCGATGGGTTGTAGTGGACGGTTTAGTTACGTCGACGAAAAAATAGGTCGACGATGCACCTCTATCCTACATAAATTGCACAATCTTCGCAAATACGTGGTCCCAGCCAAGAGTCCATTGAACCACTTACAAACATTAAAAGACTACTTAAGTCAACTGCCTGTCTTATTGAGATTAATGTTACGTTATCGCCGTGTATTATTGTTCAGTTACTCCGTGATCATGGCGTTTGCAACAGTGCCGAAATATCGGAGACTTAAAAAACATGTACATGGTAACAATTCCGTTAGTAACTATTGTATAGTATGTGTATTATTATCATAATAGGGGTGATGACGGGGTACAGTAAACGAAATTCTATTTAGTCCGTCAGTTAGATGATCAAAAAATATGGACACGTATTTTTTCTTTGGGCAATCAACCAAAAAATGTCAAAGTTTTAGCGCGTCAAACTTTGGGAGTAGGGGCTCGTGACGTCACTTTAAAGTGTAAATTGTACCAAAACGTGACGTCATGCGAATTTTCAAATCAATATATCTCTTCAATATTTATGTTATGTGAAAAAATATGTGCCCACGTGTAAACGAAGAAAAAAAAATAGTCATCATCCCTATTAAGTAACAATAAAAAATGAATATTTAAGAATATTATTAACTAAACAAGTTTTCTTATAAAAAACGATAGTTGAAAGAGAAAGCAGCGAGCGCGCACATTTTCTTGCTCTCTTTCTCTAGTAAATGAAATATTATTATGTATATGTACATACATTTTACACACATTTATATATATTTAAATACACACACACACCTAAAAATGCGATCACTTTCAAAAATAGATTGATTTTTGTGTTACAGAAGACTTTTTTGTAATTTCTTTTTCTGATAAGATTCTTAATTTTAAAATTATAACTAGAACGTAAAACAATAAAATAATTCAATTGTTTTCCCATATAAAAAGACATGCACTCCAAGCTGACACTCATTCAGAAATCTGATTTAGTCAATATTATCGAATTTAACATTTCTCTTGATTAAGTTAAATTTTGAAAATATATCAGGGATTCTTTGGGAAGCTTTGAATGCTTCGCTGAGGAAATTAAATAAATTATTCAAGATTTATTTGACATACATTTTTAATTTTAAATCAAACATTGATTATCAATTGCACTTTTTTGTATTGATTATTCATTGATTATTGATTATTAATTCCATTTATGTATTATTATTGATTATTAATTACATTGTACTTTTCTGAATTGAATGTTGTGTGTGCTTGTAAAGGCTTGCATATATGTCTTAGAATAAGTATTATTTTAATTTATTAATGTTTTATATGTTTACCTGTAAGTACATCTTTAAATAAATAAATAAAAAATAAAAAGATTCATTATTGAAGATTTCGGTGCTCCAATATTCAAAACTGATCAAGAGGTCATCTTTCAGCAGGACGGGTATCCAGCCCATTGGACTTTAAATGTAAGAGAGTATTTAAATAATTGCTTCCCTGATAGCTGGATCGGCAGAGATGGCCCAATCTCTTGGCCTGCTCGGTCACCCGACCTTACTCCAATGTTCTTTTACGAGCGGGGTCGGGCCAAGGAACTAGTTTACACTCATGTGGAGATAAACACAAAAGAACATTTAATAGAAGGAATAAATGCAGCATTTCAAACGATGAAACAGGAGATGATGTTGAAAATAACGACAACGGAAGTAAGAAAACGAAAACGCGGCGAACATTTTGAACACGAAAAATAAGTGATTTCAGTCGAAATTCTGTTTTAAATATTCTGTGTTTCATCTAAAACATAAAAAAAATCTTCCTCAATTAGGATTTCTGGTCTTAGTTTCAACAATTTCTAAGCAATTTGCATAAACAGATATATCAAAAGAAAGTACAATAACTCTAACTAAACATGTTTTTAAAAAGCTTTGACAAACAAAACATTCTCCGTGTTTTTATTGTAAGCCTAAGATAAACAGCTTTTTCCATTTTAAAAATTTACGATAGTTGAAAAATTTAGTATAATATTATAAAATAAATATCTGTAAAAAAACACAGAAGAGCTCGATGGCGCAAGTTGTTAGCGCGTTCCGCTGCGATCGTTGAATTTAAGCAACTTTCGCAGTGGTCGGTCATTGGATGGGTGACCGAAAATTTACTATCTCAAGCTCCTCAGTGCTTCGGAAGGCACGTTAAGCCGTTGGTCCCGGCTGCATCTGCAGTCGTTAGCACCCACCAACCCGCACTGGGCCCCCGTGGTGGGTCATGGCCCAATCTGCCTATTCCATCCATAGGGAAGGCCTGTGCCCCAGCAGTGGGGACATTAATAGGCTGATGATGATGATGATCTGTAAAAAAATTGTTTGCTGATACACATGTTTTAAACATTTTATCTTAATTTTCTTTCGCATTTGTTTTATCAAATAAAATCAAAAAGAATTCATTTATTATTTCGGTCAGCCATTATTTGGAATTAACCGTGTACTTTTAAGTTTTTTTCTTAAAAATCGTTAAAAATTATTAAGCATAAAATGGTCAGACTTTGTCTAAGACAAATATGGCTTATGTTTCTAAATGGTCTCTGTTAGCTTTTCTTTAAAGCTTTGCACTCATCTTCCAAACACCCTGTATATATATGACGACCTCCGTGGCCGAGTGGTTTGTACGCCGGGTTTTATGGTGTCGCCGACTCGAGAGGTCCCGGGTTCGAATCCCGGTGGAGGCAGATGTTTGTGTGATGAACACGAGCATTTGTACCCCAGTTATGGATGTTTAATATGTATTTCTATATAAATATACTTATATGTACAGTATATGTATTCTATCCGTTACCCTAGTATCCCATAGCACAAGCCTTATAGTGCTTACTTTGGGGCTAAGCTAATTGGTGTGAGTGTTGGAAATATTTATCTATTCTATTTATTATTTTATATTATATATACATATATGTATGAGTAGTGATGCGTGCGCTGCTCCATTCCCGTATGCCTTATGCACCGCCTAATGTTAGGTTATTTAACAAAAGAAATTTCACTTCAGATGCGTGGTCCGTGCACACTTTTATTTTTGAAGTTATACTTCTTTAGGCGCGTTATGAAAAAATGATGAGAGTGAAATTTTAAGATGCGCGCGCATCACTGGTGCTAACGACTGCATTGTGAAGGCCTATCAAAAGTATTTATTAATCTGGAACAACGGAACCAAAGCGCGATTCAGGAGACTACAGCGCCATCTCTTGACCAATGGTGTAGTAGAACCAAAAACCACATCTTTATTTTTTGTAATAAAGTAACAAAAAGTATTTATTAATCTGGAACAACGGAACCAAAGCGCGATTCAGGAGACTACAGCGCCATCTCTTGACCATTGGTGTAGTAGAACCAAAAACCACATCTTTATTTTTTGTAATAAAGTAACTGTTATAGGTATTCATATTTATAATATTTATCCACATGTTTCTAGTTTGTATTTTCGGAATACGTGTTTGAGTTTCATACAAGTGCAAATCACATATGTTCTAATAAATTATATTCAGTAGCGATTTTAATTGAATATTTTGATTATTTATTTATTTTTTCAAATTAAAACTGAACTTTATTGACTGTGTCCTTTTCCAGACTTTTTATTAATTTATTGTAATTAATTATTTGCATGCAATTAAAAACTAATTTTAAACGATGCCAAAGAAGGATAACTTCTCACGCGCCTACATAAGTACACGCACCCATTTTTTTAATTATATAGACAACCGACTGCATACGACGACTATTTCAAATATTCAAAAAACTTGGATACACAGCTAGGTAATTTAATAAGCGCCGCTATCTCGCAACCACGGCCTTACCTCATATCGCAACGGAGGCGTTTTGCAACTTCCAACTCCTTTGCGAGTCTACTAATTTTCGTCAGTGCCTTACAAAACTTAGCTGTGTCCGATCGTGCCTTTTAAACTGGATAACTTAATTGGTGAGTTCAAGTATTTTTAACATTTTGAACATTAAGTTAGTTTTTAATGTGTCTAAATATGGTGTAAAAGGTGTCCAGCAAGTGTAGTGTTTTTTTTATGGGAAAACTATATAATTGTCGAAAAAACTGGTTTCTAAATCCTAAAATTGTAAATCAAATGTGTTATTTGATGTAATATATAAAATTCTCGTGTCGCGGTGTTTGTGGTTAAACTCCTCCGAAACGGCTTTCCCGATTCTCATGGAATTTTGTGTGTATTGGGTAGGTCTGAGAATCGGACAACATTTATTTTTCATTTCCCTAAATGTTAAGGGTAATCCACACCAATTTTTCTTTTTGCAATTTTAGATATATTTTTTTTAATTTTTTTATGATACGTCATACAAAAATACATACAACCCTAAATTTTCACCCTTCTACCACCAACCCCTATTTTTTTATGGCGGTACGAAGTTCGCTGGGACAGCTAGTAAGTTTATACTTTTCTATACATTTGGGATCCTCAACAGGCTCCGTGCTCAAGAGTTATGTGTTATTAGGAATTTAAATTCAACCTCGAATACAGATGACCGATTAATCTGTTACAACATGCAAAAAATTTATTAACGAGTTACGTCTGATTTCATTTATAAGACAAAACTTATTATTTAAACTACAACTTAAAATCTCTTTTTAAAGTTCATAAGTGTTTACCCAATTCAAAAAATTCAAAATTCAATATCGTTTATACAGTCTAGGCTGTTACAAGCACTTGTGAATGTCGAAAAGCTACGCCATCGGTTCGTAAATCTACGGTGGGAGACCTTGTACTGAGAAGAATCGGCAAGAAACTCAGCAAGGGCTGTTTTTTTCTCCCTGTATTATATATACAGAGCCGTCAAATTGAAAAATGACTTCAATATGAGGTAACTCACAAAGTCACTTTCCATTATAAACAAAAAATGCAAATAATATAAAAATTATGACTATAAAATAAAAAATATATAAAAAACTGGTTAAACAAAGTTTAGGAACGCCGTGTCCTACTGTTTAGGCAAAAAAAATAATGAACGATTTAAGTTTAACTTTCATCATTATCATACTTATTCGCAAAGTCATATTTGACTAGAAGAAGTTAACTAATTTTACGTGTATAAAATTATAAGATAATCTTTACAACATTTTTTTTCCACAATAATAATAGTACAAAGGTTAGGAATATAATTTTGATGGCCACATGAAGTAATAATTTAACCAATTAAATTTTTGTAACTTCATTTTTTTTGTGAAGGTCTTTTTTTTTATGTTTGGACGAGTTTTTTAGCGAGATGGACCCATATTTATAGGTATAAGTCTAAATAAAAGCTTGTTTTCTTCTTTTAATTTTTAATATTTTTGAACATCGTTCTGTATCAATCTGTGTATTCATGAGCATAGCTGGGCATTAACTCGTTAATCCGTTAATTAACGAAGTTAACATTTCTATTAACGGATTAACTTTTATGTTAACTTTCAAAAATGTTAACGGACTTGTTAACTTCCGTTAAAATATCCGATTCACCCAGCTGTGTTCATGAGTAAATGTAAGCATAGAAAAATATGTGTAAAATTCTTATGAAATGTGTCTTTCCGTTCAGTATATCGCAACTGGCGAACAACGTACTGTTAATAAACAAGGTTGTATGGTATTACCACATTACACCACAGATTACTAGTACTAAATCACCATTCAATCAGTTTTCGATTTAAACTCTGTATGGCATTGAAACATTTCACGATTACGCATCTACGACATTAATAAAAAAAAAACGACGGGTTGCACTCCGGTAGTGCCGGCAGAAGTGAAAACTTGAATATTAACTTTGTGCATTTTTGATATTTTGGAATGGTTAGGGAATAATTTTGCACGAATTTCTTTAATTATCAGTATAAAAGTACTATCATGTTTGTAGGTAGAACACAATATATATTTATTGCGCTATCGTACACAAACATGACAATTTATAATACATTAAAAAGTTTATCTCTCAGAATTTCTCATTTAAGCGCACCTAGCGACATCTATTGTAAAAAAATGCATTTTCTTCGCAATAAAGCTGCCACCTGGACGTCCTAGATACAGATTTATTATTATAATACGATAAAATAAAATTCTTATAACAATGATTCGTCCAATATATTGAAAGTCAAAAACCTTTTCAATTTTATTGTTTTCGTCTTACGAATTTTCGATTGTCAGGTGTCCAGATGCGATCAGGCCACGTGTCATGACGCGAGTTTAAAAGTTTTTACCCATTACAAAAAAAGTGTCCAACGCCGCTAAAGAAGTTTTCACTTCAATATCAACTTACATGAATCACATAAGCGCACCTAGCGACATCTATTGTAAAAAAATGCATTTTCTTCGCAATAAAGCTGCCACGTGGACGTCTTAGATAGAGACTCATTATTATAATACGATAAAATAAAATATTACTATGTTTCGTCCAATATATTGAAAGTCAACAACCTTTCCAATTTTATTATTTTCGTCTTACGATCAGGACACGTGGCCTGTTATGCGATCAGCCCACGTATCATGACGAAAAAGAAGTTTTCACTTCCATAATCAAGTGCGAGTTGGACACACTCACCGGGGGCTCCGTACCGCAACCCAAGCGCCTCCGACACCTCCCATACAGGCCACAAACACCAACACTACACAGCTAGCATACTTCCACACTAGCTTAGCATTAGGCAGATACCGCACCCGTAGGATAAGAGTGCGAAGACCCGGTCTACACACGACACGCTATACTAGGTACCTGGGCGATTTTCCCTGCCCCTACGACGACGGCTAACTAGAGCCGAGGTCCGAGTCTCAGAGACGCCCTCTAGTTGAGCCGACCTCCTCAGGTTCGAGTGGTCTAGAGGCTCCAGACGGAGAGGAGACCCCCCGCGGGGAGATGCCATCCGTCTGGAATACCTCTAGAGGCACTCGCCAATTCTCGGCTTGAGGTCCCCTTAGGATCTCGCCGTCCCCAAACCTGGTGACGCTGTAAAGGTCATCTGCGACCAACAGCATACACACTATCCGAATCCTTATTTTACGTTAACTTAGAAGTGTGATTTTTTCACTTGATGAGTATATGGTTTAAATTTTGACTCAATATTTCCCCAACACCAAAGACATTTTTTCCTTTTGCGATACGGAATCTTAAAAACAAGTTTGGCATATATGATTAAAATGTGGTTTAACAAACCCGTGTTTCCAAGTCATTAATATTATAAAATAATGAATGATAAAACATCATAAGCCGAAGAGTAAATGGAAATGAGTATGGATTTTTTTTTTGATAAAGCGATGTTTTATTATATTTATCTGATTAGGGTAGACTTTAAAATGATTGGCCGTTTGAGCGGAATTCTTGAGTCTTTGTGTCTAGTAAATTAATTGTTGGTTGTCTATTGAATATGTTTCCACAGTGCTATTAAATAGGGGTTGTATATTTATAATATTAATATGTTTTAAAATATTTCAAAATCAACAGAAAAAGCTTCAAATGTTTAGTGATTGGCATAGTAAAGTCTATAGCTTTGTATGGCATACCAAAACTTTGATATTTAATTTAAAATTTTAGGTGTTGTTCTGCTAAAATACATTTTTCATCTCACAAGTAGTTTTATATTAAAATAATTATGTCGATGAAATATTGAAACGTTAAGTTAGAAAAAAAACATGTTTAAAAACATCTATCCTTTAATGTCTTCGATATAACATTTTTCATAGCATTTGCGAAACTGCGACAATCAAAGTTTGCTTAAAATTAAATTACATTTGTAGAACTCAAATTTCTACTGAAGATTGAAGAATTGCTGTGGTGTACTCTGTACCAATCATTGTGGGAGGGTCTACATTAGTACAGGTTTCCCTAAATTGTACGAGTTTGTTGTCGTATTTTAAATATTCGCAATTAATTCAAAGATGACGCAATTCATTTATATTTAGTGACATATTAAAAAATAAACCCGCGATCTAGGTGAACTTTTAGTGACCACGAATTCTAACTATGTTCCAATTGAATGAATTAATAAGTATTATCTGGCCGCATTGTTCGGAAACAAAGAAAAATCTTTAATCACGTTGACGAATTATATAATATAACTCATTTCAAATTCTATTATAAAATACTACTAGCAAACCAGTGAACCAAATGTTCACCAAAACCTGATTTAAAAAAAAAGTGTTTAATTAATTGAGAACTTCGGAGATTTTGTGTGGTTTCGTTTGAAATTCGTGATTTCTCGAAAACCGGAAGTGCTACGTTACTCAAATCCGGTTTGTAGTCTTATCAGACTATTCTTAACTTATAACTTAAATATTCTCTTTATCTATCTCTTACGGTTTGGCCGCTGAAACAGCACCACAGACGGACGGACGGACTTGTCTAATAGATAAGAGATTATTTCAATCACTTCAGTAATTACTATTGACGACGACCTCCGTGGCGACACTAATAACCGCTCGGTCAAAATTTTATGTCGAGTGACGCTCGTCGCCTCCTTCTCCCGTAGCATGAGCAGTTTACATTTTATCACGTCTTTTTATCGCGCCTAACTGTCAAACTGTCTCTTATCCCACCTTTTCTTTTCTTTCCCCTTTCCTTCAGAGGACCACGCGCGCTGGCCTTCGTTGTCACCGTCTGACTGTGGCCACAATTCCAACGCGTACAAAAAAATTTGGTGACTCATTTCTTTGTCGCACTATCCGTAAATGGAATGCTCTGCCCGCTCACGTGTTCCCTCCCTCTTACAACCTGGGATCCTTTAAAAGAGGAGTGAAGAAGCAACATGCAGGCCGTCAGGGTGAGGATGGCTGGTGTGGCAGGTACAACTGCTGTATCAGCTATCTTCGCGTCTGGACTTCACCTTCACTTAACATCAGGTGGGGTGGAGTCATTTGTCGGACCTATAAAAAAAAAAAACTTCATAGTAATTTGACAATAGAGTGTGATAAAAACGCGTTATATATTATATCGCGT